CGTCTAGCGACTACACTAAGATAGGTGCCTATTTTATGTTTGGCTCTGTAAAACTTTGACGAAGTCTTGTTTCTCACGACAGTTCACAACGATAGATCACATTGAGTAGTCTGTCTCCTACTCAGTCGTTACAAAAGGGTCAACCAACACTAGTCAGGATATGACTGACTAACTGACTTTCTACCCCACCAGGACATCACAGAAGCGATAAACACCTGATGACACAAAGTGCCACCATGTGGGTGAGGATCACAGTGGAGAGGTCCCAGACACCGCGTTCAGCCTTTTGGCCATATTTATGGCCAGGTTATATTGCGTCCCCTGACAAAGCCTGAGTAGGGCTTCAAATGACAAAAAAATGTCATCCTAATAAGGACGGGAAGTAGTGAATAATAATATTCCGAATATGGCAAACAACAAGTTCTGTTGGTTAACCTGTGGTGTTAATGGGCAATTTAAAACCCACATGTTTTTATAATGTTTCCTGAACAGGACGACGCTGATGCCTTTGTCACAAATCAAATTCCATGGAACACTGTGTAGAGATGTTGAAAATACATCCAGAAACAAAAAGCGTCAAAGCCCCCAGATGATTTCAGTGTTTGATGTAATAAAATTGACAAGTTTCTGAAAAGTAGGGGACGTAACCTTCAGAAACATGCTTGCTTTTTTTTAAATGCCATATTGTGTCCCTTAGATTATTGATGATGCTTCTTAAAATTTATTATTTGTGGATTTTTCCGTGGATTTAAATCAACATCTGCACACGGAAAATGCTTCAGTTTTCGGGTTCATGCTCAAAGTATCACTTAGCACGCAAACATAGGTACAGTTGTTTTTTTTTTAACCGAAGCCCAATTTATGTTACTTTTATTTGCATCACAACCTCTTTATTTCTTTAGTTAACTTTCAGATTTCTATCAACAATGCAGTATTCCTTACGTCCTTTTTAGGACGTAATTTTTTGTCATTTGAAGCCCCACTCTGGCTTTTGCCAGAGGCCGCAATATAGGCAGGCCATAAATATGGCCAATTGTCTGAACGCGGTTTCTGGGACCTCTCCACGGTGATCCTCATCCACATGGTGGCACTTTGTGTCATCGGGTGTTTATCGCTTGTGTGATGTCCTAGTGGGGTAGAAAGTCAAGTCAAGTCAAGTCATTTCTATCAACATTCCATTCCTGGTTATTACAGCCAATTTCGTCATCCTCTCGTGGGATGCAATTTTTCGTTGTTTTGAAGCCCCGCTGACTTTTGTCAGGGGCCGCAGTATATAGCCCGGCCACGGACATGGCCTAATAGCTAAACGCGGTTTCCGGAACCTCTCCACGGGTGATCCTCATACGCACGGTGACACTTTGTGTTATCGGGTGTTTACCGCTTGTGTGATGTCCTAGTGGGGTAAAATCTATTACTACTACCTGGCTATGTCACCACACTGTCGTCCCCCTGTGGGTTATTTTGAAGGTCCACGGGTAATTATCATCCGCATGGTGGCAATTTGTGTCACCGGGTGTTTATCGCTTGTGTGATGTCCTGTGGGGTACAACCTACCTACCTACCCTTAGTAAATTTTCTGATTTCTACCAACTTTTCATTTCTGGCTATGGATGCTAGTTAGTGCCTGAACATTTTTGCTATTGTTGTCTATATTTATGAAGCAATTGTATTATCTGTTTGTTTCAGCGCTTTCCTCCGTGATTTAATTGATAAGTTATTCAACATAAACTTCACCAGGAATTTACAGTGACATTTTTTCCCGTAAAATTGTCCCTATGAGTTTACAGTTACATTGAGATTTTTTCAAGCAACATTCACGAAAATTTACTGTTGCGGTGCTGAACAAGAAATTTTTTGTTTGTATCATTATTATATTGTATCTACCGGGAAGGCTAACCCGGTCAACAAATGCCCGCAGAAGTCGGATGTGTTGGCCGAAAGGTGCAAATATCGCAGCCATGCTGTAAACGGACACAACGCAATTACATCTTCGGATGAACGCAGCAGAAGAAGATATTGTATCTGAGTTTTATAACGATGCTACCCATGTCAGCAGGACTGTCTGGAGCTCTAGAAACACCCACCCATGATCAACCCGGGCATTCATTTCTGTGGTAACTTGGTGAAACCCAGGAGAGTGTGTTGAACATAGTACCCAAAAAAATGGCACAATAAAATATGATTTTAACAGAGCAGAATGTCATGGAGTGAACAGCCAACCCTACACTGTGGACTAGTCGTGACGCTGTCACCCCTAGCGGGCACGTCACATTTCAAATTTAAACCCGTCCAGGGGAGGGGGGTATATAGTCCCTTATATTGATATATACCTCTATCTGGTGGAATATACATTTCTAGACTCTCTAGTTGTTTTGAGAAGTCTACATTTTCAAACTTGCAACTGTTGGATAGATATTTCGGGAACATTATTTAGAAATTCCTGTAAGCCTTTTTACTTCTTGGGCATGAATACAAGGACTTCTTTTCTAGAGACGCCAACCTTAGTCTGGGGCGGGCATTCTTTTGCCAGACCGCTGAGGTGTCAGGAGACTTTCTAAGTCGCTCGTTGAATTTGGCGCTATCAAAGTACCAGTTTAAGCTTTGAAGGATTCCTAAGCTTGGGATGAAATCTCCTTAGAAGTCAGGCAGACGAATCACAGTCCAACCAACAACCACCAACCCATACCATCCCTATCACCAAACCTACCCAAAACCCTACATATTGTTGGCAGAACTTCAACATGGCAGGAGTTTGTGTGTGAGTTCCAGTGGCTGAGAGACAGTATTGCAAGCAACCTGTGTCATCAATCCAAGGAAGCTTTCTTCAGGAGCTTTGTTGGGCTCCAGTGCAGTTCCTTTGTCCTCATATGTGAGACGATCAGTGTTTACCAGGTCAACCAGAGGAAAAGCGATCTATTGAGTCAGCCGGTTCAAATCACCATGGACTGAGGGGAGCAGAGACCTACCAGTTTGGTTAAGTAAACTCTGAGATGACCTACATGCTCTCTTTTTCCATGGTTACCTATAATTCACAGTGATGAATCATGTACTTTTCCAAGAGCTTACTCTGGCTGTTTCAACATCATTGCTGTGAGGTTGAGTCCTGACTCAATTCACTGGAAACCATCTTGATTGTCTTGATATTTATGTATATATATGTTGAAATTATTACAACCTTTTTCAGAAATTTTCATGGCTTACTTGGATGTCCCTGTTTCACCATTCCCCTGTCTAGTTTTATGTTTGTGTGATTAATACGTGTAATCTGTGTTAACATTGCTATGCTAGATACTATCATAACCTGGGGCTATCTTTTTATAGTAGTGGGGGTGTCCAGCCAAGTGTGCCTAGGAATACTCGATATTCTGTAGTGCCAGAGCTTGAGTTGCCCTACTCCTGAAATAAGTTGGGCGTATATTGGCCACGGGATATCCCTTAGATCAATACGAGCCAACGCCCCAACATTATTATTTCAGAGAGCAGTTGGTTCTAAAAGAGCAATCCTTAAATCAGGCACGTGACACGAGCGGTATGTGACACAGAAAATGAAGGAACAGCAAAAATGCAGTGGTACTTCGAACATAACCCATCCTGAGAAAGCCATCGGCTTCCAACTCGTCCGAGTTCCCTTGCAATTTTTGTTCTTGGACATGATAAATTAATCTGTTCCGGTCTTCATAAAACTCAAATTTTAAAATTCATTTTCAAAACTACAGTTCACCGTGAATGATGATCATGTTTCAATAAAAACATTCTTAAACACGCACACACACACACACACACACACACATACACACACACACACACATATATATATATATAAACATTTTATTGACTGTATCTTGAGAGAAAAAGGGGACATAGCACATACAAGTAGGAGGAGGAAGGAGGTTTTAAGGAGATTATTGTTGGAAAATGAGTCACCATCCATGAAAACATCAGGAATCCTTTCTAGGGTCTAGTCTTTCCCCACTTGTAGAGGGTTTGTAGTCACTAATTTTTCTTGACAGTAAGTTTTCCAAAGGGCTCTGACGTTGGCGACAGTACTTAATTTGTCTAAATGTTTGATAATGTTATCAGTCAGTAATTTAACACAATTGTTATCTACCTCTCTAACAAGTGCCCCGTCTCAACAATTAAGATGTTTTAAACTATGTGGTCAAAACATTTTGCTTTTAAGCATTGCTGATCTTTCAGACTTTCTCCTGTTCGTACGGTGAAGAATTTCTTCTGTAATGTCTTCCATTTCTGAAGGCACGAAAGCACTTGTCAGCTGTTTCATTTGTGAAGGCGCTAAAGCAAGTGTCGGCTCTTCCATTTATGTTATTTTTAGTAGTATTATTGCGTAATTAAACAAGGCTTCAGCTCCTCCCCGACCTAGGGCAATTACTGGGGTAGTATTGAGCGCCCACCCCCTTAATGTTTTCTCTGGGACAGAGCGCTTAGCAGCGATACACCTCGGAGGTCCCCCGTATGCACTTTAAAAAAAACAGTGTCGTCAATGAATCTGTACAGACCCACCTAAACTTGGCAGTCAACCTGATAACAGTCAGTTCTGTAGCGTGGTACCACTCTCCGACAGAACCATCAACCGCGGCCACACTCGCAGACTTCTGTCACATGGTACCACGTGACTGCAGCGAGCCCTGTCACCAGGAAGGGGCGAGCTGGCGGGACCGTGAATAAACATTTCATTGATGGCTTGTTCGAACTGTTTAAATAGTTGTCGACCACCAGGGAGGGAATCAAAGGCTCCGCTACACTGCAAAAAGCAAACTAATGTTTCTGGCCGAGGACGAGATAACAACAGAAGGCACACGCCGTAAACAGGACAGCAGGCTTGTAAAATCTAATACAAATATATTTTAGCCGCATCAACAGTCAGATTAAAGTCAGAATCTACAATTTGATTTTTAAACTTTTGACAAGTTTTTCGAAGTCAACCGTCATATTTTTGTGCCATCTGTTGAGAGTGGATTATTGTGTGTGGAACTTGTATTATGGCTCCAACAATGCAAGTGGAAGAACTGACCTTGTCTTCCTCGGCGACCTCTCTGAGGGCCAGCAACTCTGATTCCGGAGCCAAATGCAGCTTCGCCGTCCCCGCTGCATCCACCGGGGACGTGGCCATACGTTCCGAGAGCTGTCTCCAGTGTAAACAGGCGCTACACAACACCAAGACGGTGATCCCTGAAGCTTCTTCTGTGTTCAAAGTGAGTATTTGTTTTGTTTCAATGATTCTCTTATCTAATTAAAGAGAGCCGTGGTGGAGTACCTGCCACACTCTCGCTGCCAACCCGACGGTCTCAGGTTCCAACTAATATCTACTCGGATGCTTCTCTAAATTCACTTTGGCTCCCAGGTCGACCGAGCCTACAATAGGTAGCAGATGAGAGACCATGAGAACAAAGAGAGAGAGGGAGGGGGGAGGGTGATGTTGTCCACATTGCGGATAGACTGGCAGTCGGTTATATTATTATGTCTAGCATCATATGTCCGATTCGCCCCTTGCGGTAAAATTGTCCTTGAAATATACAAGTTCTGACCTAATTTTTTACTTAAAATGTCCACATTAAGTTACAGCTGTACATTAGGTCTGGTACCAGCAGCATCTCTTCTTCTTCTTCTTCTTCTTCTTCTTCTTCTTCTTCTTCTTCTTCTTCTTCTTCTTCTTCTTCTTCTTCTTCTTCTTCTTCTTCTTCTTCTTCTTCTTCTTCTTCTTCTTCTTTTTCTTCTTCTTCTTCTTCTTCTTCTTCTTCTTCTTCTTCTTCTTCTTCTTCTTCTTCTTCTTCTTTCTTCTTCTTCTTCTTCTTCTTCTTCTTCTTCTTCTTCTTCTTCTTCTTCTTCTTCTTCTTCTTCTTCTTCTTCTTTTTCTTCTTCTTCTTTTTCTTCTTCTTCTTCTTCTTCTTCTTCTTCTTCTTCTTCTTCTTCTTCTTCTTCTTCTTCTTCTTCTTCTTCTTCTTCTTCTTCTTCTTCTTCTTCTTCTTCTTCTTCTTCTTCTTCTTTATCTCACACCAGCTGATCTATCTTTCTTTCGTACGTTTGTAATAAAGCGATTTGGGCGAGTTTTATTTGATCTGTTGATGGAGCGTTGCATCATACACATACCTAAAATATCAGCAGACACGCTCACAGGATCATGTGTGTATGCAAATTATACTCAATTTATGAGGCGTGTAAAAGAAAATACACAATGGCTGTATCACTTGAATTACAAAGACACGATACAATCCTGGCATTTCGTGACTGCTAAAATTGATCAGTGACTGTTTTTATTTGAACACATTCCATCATACTGCAATCACTGATAAAACAAAGTATAACAACAACCAAATAAACAGACAAACAAATATATATTTTGATAGACATACTTATAAACATACATACGATTAAGTAGGCACATCGGGCAAGCAAAATACGCTATATTGTAGGCGAAAAAAGACTAAAAAACATTCTTTAGCATACAGATACACCTACCTGCATACATGGCTACATACATTCAGCTGACAGGCAGACAATAGTTAGATAGACAAGACCGATAGACATATTTATAGACAGGGGTAAGCAGGCTGCTAGGCAGGCAAGCAGACATAGAGACATGCAGTCAGGTAGACAGACATAGAGACATGCAGTCAGGTAGACAGACATAGAGACATGCAGTCAGGTAGACAGACATAGAGACATGCAGTCAGGTAGACAGACATAGAGACATGCAGTCAGGTAGACAGACATAGAGACATGCAGTCAGGTAGACAGACATAGAGACATGCAGTCAGGTAGACAGACATAGAGACATGTAGTCAGATAGACAGACATAGAGACATGCAGTCAGATAGACAGACATAGAGACATGTAGTCAGGTAGACAAACATAGAGACGTGCAGTCAGGCAGGCATACATAGAGACATGCAGTCAGGTAGACAGACATAGAGACATGTAGTCAGGTAGACAGACCAAGAGTCATACAGTCAGGTAGATAGACATCGAGACATGCAGTCAGGTAGACAGACATAGAGACATTCAGTCAGGTAGATAGACATAGAGACATTCAGTCAGGTAGACAGACATAGAGACATGCAGTCAGGTAGACAGACATAGAGACATGCAGTCAGGTAGCGCAGTCAAACTACTGAGAGTAAAGTTGCCTAGTCAAACTACTGCGAGTAAAGTTGCCTAGTCAAACTACCGAGAGTAAAATTGCCTAGTCAAACTACTGAGAGAAAAGTTGCCTAGTCAAATTACTGAGAGTAAAGTTGCCTAGTCAAACTACTGAGAGTAAAGTTGCCTAGTCAAATTACTGAGAGTAAAGTTGCCTAGTCAAACTACTTAGAGTAAAGTTGCCTAGTCAAACTACTGAGAGTAAAGTTGCCTAGTCAAACTACTGAGAGTAAAGTTGCCTAGTTAAACTACTGAGAGTAAAGTTGCCTAGTCAAACTACTGAGAGTAAATTTGCCTAGTCAAACTTCTGAGAGTAAAGCTTAAAAAATGCTGGTTTTAGTTCTGCAACGTTCTGTAAAGGGTACGCAGTTATCTTTTAACTGTGTCCCCCAAGGCCTCTAATACATTTACAACTTCTAATATTTTCATGTATATGGCCTCTTTGAATATTTTATTTATTTATCACACAGGAAGCACTCGACAAGTTAAACTTGGAGAAGGCACAAGATGACTGCAAGAAAGAGAATGTACAAAAAGACGACAAGACGTTATCGTCGCAGCCAGCCGGCACCACCCAGACTTCCTTTCTTACCAAACTGAAATCAGCCTTCAAGCCCAGCCCTTCCGGATCGCCTCGTCTGTCACCTTGTCGTTCCGAAGGAGTGCCTTCAAAAACCTCAGCTGTTGTGAAACCAGTCCGGCGTCCAGCATCTTTTGGCGGGTCAGATGGGATTAAACTCAGTGCCGGACGACGGTCAAGTCAGTTTGAGAAACGGGTTTCCTGGGCGGACGAGTACGGTTCAAACCATCCTCTGTTCTCTGTAAGGTTAATACGACCCCGTCTGTCAGTGGACAACAACCACTGTGGACAGAGCACGCCCGGGCACTCAATTCTGCGGACCACTGGAATTTGTTGAAAAAGGCGATGGAGATAGATCACTTGAAGACACTGAAACATTATAATAAGTGAATTCACAGAAATGTAACCTCCCTTTAAAAAAGTTGACACAAACTTAGAGAAGACTCTAGATAACATAGAATCAGGAAATGAGGTGACAAAACAGAAGTTATGACTGTAGTGTGCGTCTCAAAAGTCGGGCTCTCACAATTTAACAAGTAGCTCCAAAACTCATGTAAGGATCAACAAGAATTTTAGCATGTGGCTTTAGATTCCCTTTGTCAGTATGACTATAAATTACAGTTGTACAGGTGCTGCTGTTTTGTTAAAGCGGCGAATTTCTTTGACATTTGACTAATAACTTGTTTACCCAAGAAAATAGAATATGTAGAGAAAGTGGCACAAAAATAAAGATTGTAAATTATTTCACATTTGCAGCGATGCTTAGTGATTATTTTGATAGCCTATCCCGCATACAGTGAAAATTTTTGTTCATCTCACTGACGGGAGGCACTGCTGGAGATGACCACACGAGATAAACGCGGAGAGTTTAATGTTTTGAAAAGCTCCTGTTACTCAGTTAACTGTAAGGAAATTGATTGTTTGCCCAGTATCGCTGACTGGCTGCCCAGGATTGCTGATTGTTTGCCCAGGATCGATGCCTGTTCTTCTCTATATACTGCAAACAGTGTAAAATTAAAACTAGATGCTTGATTATTTTTAAACAATTCTTGCAAGGACATGACTGTTGACAGGTTGCGTGTCAAATTTCAACTTTCACAGGACGGTTGCTGAGTTACATTTTTTAAAAGTTTGGCACAACTTCTGCAACGGACTACAGAAAGCTGAACAGAGGAGGAAAGGATACAAAAACCTTTCAAAAGTTTCGATTGTACAAGTTGTCCCCTCAACTCCCAACGCTTATGTGTAATGGATGCATGTGGTGGCACCAGCTGGACTTTAGTCACACCAGTCTTGAGCAAGCAGGAAGTTAGCGGCACACACTGCGGGTGCTACATAACACTAACGCTTGGTTGACCTCTACGACGTTTATTCTATAAGTGCAGATCAATACTTACCTATTATAGCTGCATTTTGGTGCCAAAGCACAGAATAAAAGATGCTTTTTCTGAACCCCTCCTCCCCCCCCCACTCCCTCGCTTCTTTTTTTCCTTCCAACCCACACCCACCCCTCCCCCTTTCACAAAGATACATCAAACATCGTGCCGCCCAAAAAGCACTAGGGACGTTTTAGTCTCTTGTTGATTACCAACATTCCACAACAACAGCCTTACAATCATGTGGCCTATGAGGCTGTTCTGCATTTATTGCAAGTTTTCCTTATACAATTCCAGTGTCGACTTATTGAAGGCCATATTGTATAACGTGTGTGTGTGTGTGTGTGTGTGTGTGTGTGTGTGTGTGTGTGTGTGTGTGTGCGTGCACGTGTCGGCTCCAGTTTATTTATGTTCATAAATGTGTTGCACGTCGAATGTTACACTTGAATGAGAGGTTTTTATTGCAACAGCCTTGCAACTTAGCAGAACGAAGGTTTATGTATTAATTTACAGCAAAGTAGGTTTATATAGCAACTTTCAGGGAATTAGGTTTATATAGCAACTTTTAGGGAGTTAGGTTTATATAGCAACTTTCAGGGAGTTAGGTTTATATAGCAACTTTCATGGAGTTAGGTTTATATAGCAACTTTCAGGGAGTTAGGTTTATATAGCAACTTTCAGGGAGTTAGGTTTATATAGTAACTTTCAGGGAATTAGGTTTATATAGCAACTTTCAGGGAATTAGGGGTTTATAACAACTTATAAAGAAAGCAGATTTATCTACAACTTTACAAGGAAAATATGTTTATGTAAAGACATAGTTGTGTGATGCAGCTGCGAAGTAGCTTTATGTGGTCACGTGGTGGAAAACTTAGCTTTGCGTGTTACTAGTTGCTGAACGTAGCAGTTTCACTCTTAGAAAAGTCAGCTTGACCTTGTCAGAGAAACAAGAAAAGTAGGCAGATGTAGCTAGTCATTACGAAATTTGAAGTAACTTGTTGAAAATGAAAGATTATGTTTTGTATGAGTGATTAGTGCTTTCATTGCTCAGAAGAGACATCACATATTAATTGAGAAATATAAAGAAGAAATTAGCAATATAAAAGTCTCTAAATGTATCTATAGCAAAAAAAAAAAAAAGCTAAGATAAATAACCAAGAACATGAAGCATAACAAATGTTAAAACGAGCCTTTCAACAAATCTGTCCCTTTGATTAACAACACCGTGTGACATTCACAGAACGATAGAATCGTTTCTGCTGAAGCAAAGACAAGCACCGTCTAGCACTGTTCATTTGCATAACCAAACAAGTGGCACTGGTGACATTGTTATATTAGACATTCTGTGGCGACACACAGAGCCGGGACGTGCGAAGTTCTAAGCTTGTAGAGTCGGGGGAACAATAGCCCTCGGGGCTGCCGTAGTGCAGGGAGCTAAGATTACATTTAGGAAATATGTTTTAATGTCACGTTTGGTATTTTAATATGGTGTTGTAATCACCGCCTCACCTGAAAGTTATGTGGCTAGCAAGGGGACAATCTGTGGCTACTGTTGTTGAAGAATAGACACTCTCTAAGACAAGGCTCGTTCAGAGTCTTTGAAGTTCGTAGTGGGTAGATAAAAATGTACAGATGTGACGCGAATGGGTATCGAGCACAGACATCTCTTTAAGAAAAAAACTTACCTTGGTATATTATCTTTGAAGAATCACACTTAAGGATTTTCGAGTTAACACTTTAGTGTGATTCTAGTGAGGATATTCGCATAAAGTCGAATTCTGAGTCTTTGCAAAGATCACATTACTAGGCTGATCGGTACCCACGCAGCAAACATTTGCTGAGAGAGACTGGTCATATGTGAGTTTGCCGAGGCGGTATGATGCCGATTGAGAAAAGACTGAACGATATACCGGAGTTCCGGTACATTGAGACTTGGTCCTGTTAGATATATCATTATGGCACATAGGAATGTGCAGTGGGCGAATTTATGGAAGGATAGATAGAAATACACAAATACGAGAGGCATTCTCCCACATGAGAGAAGAGTCTGTCAGAGGTAGAATAATCCCTGATTGACTCAAATACTCTTTAACCACACACAAGTCGTGTACAATCTCGGATTGCATTGGCAGGGGTGTTCACCAGCCCAGATTGTGCTTCTTTCATTTCATCTTTCAGAGTTTTCGAACTTGAAAGAAGCACGCAGTATGATTTTTTTAGGAATTAGAGCACAGTGACCCAAAAAGGATTCCCAGACTACCTTTTTTTTCTCGAGATAATGCGAGATACCCGTTTCGAGAAGCCCCCGAACTGTAGAAATAGCCCTTATTAATCCCGTGTTTTGATCGGAAAAACAAACCCGGCCCTTGCCGTGAATTGAATCCAAATTAGGGTTTTAATACGATAGCCATCCAGCCATAATTTTGTTCTGACTAAAAGTTTTTGGTTAATAAAGTACGTGTGGGATATACACATGTATGTGAGGAGTATACTTGTAAAAATCCTCTCCGAGACTGTTACCTTTTTCAGGGCCACTTTATAACACTTTTGAAAGCACTGAACTCTTTTATAGCCTAACCCAGACTTTTGCCAGACTTGTCTGTGAACACCGTTTGTTTTTTTGGGTCTACCTGACTGTGGAGGTAGAGAGAAGATTAACAAACGCCTCAGATCTGGAACCAGACGGTGCCATGTTGCCTGCATTGAATCTATTCTGGAAGCGAATTTAAATATGTAAATATGAGCGAAATAGGCTGTTGTTACATATCATTGATATTAATTGGTGACTGAAGGTTTGATCAAGATCTTCGGTGGCCACACGACACTTGGCATGCTGTGCTGGTTACGTTTATTCTCCAGGAGAAATATGCGATAGACAATGCCTTCAGACATCCTCTTGATGAAATACAATCAACAATCAATCCACAGGCCCTTTACAGGCACGTGTATAAGTTTGTCGTTCTCTATCCATTTCTCCAGCCCTTTGTGCTCTCCTTTGAAGTAAATAAGGCAGGTCGAGTGAAGGATCATGAAGCATGAGCAACATATGGTCTCTAAAATACTGTCCAGGCTTTGTGCTATGGAGAGGGGGAACTTCATCACTGGCCGTAATAGATCTCGGATACAAATCGAGAGGCAGCAGTTACGTGTTATAATTCCTAGTCAATTGGCGTAGACGAGGGCGCCACGGGTTGCCTCTGACTGTGGGAAACATATTCGAATGTCACTGAACAACTACCGCCTGCCTCAAGCTGGGCAGCCACCAGCCAATAAAGTGATGATCCGCCATATCTTGTATGCTTCAGTGGGTACTTGGACCTAGGAGCAAATCCGAATCACAGGCTGTAAAAATCAATGAAACAGGCAATAACAAGAAATCCACGTGCTTTCATAGTCAGTGCATCTTTAATAGCATCTATCCAAACCTGAGTAGGTCTGCTTCTGCATCGTTTCCCAGAAACAGAAGTACTGGGACAACTAAATCATCGACACGAGTGGGATTCAAACGATACATAAACATATATAGTTTCTTTAAACAACATTTTAATGCAGTAATCCCTGTTACTTTTTAAAATTACCTTCATCACACATGCGTACGTATGTATATACACGAAGTCTATGTTTTATTTTAAGTCAAAACGTCAGACATAATTTCGTAGCAAGTCTTGTTGCAATTAAATAGCGCTTATGTGTGTGTGTATGTGTGTGTGTGTATGTGAAATCTTCGACTGTTGTCAGCTGTGCATATGTATAGCTGATATGAACGGGATACATTGCCATGTTGGATTGCTTTATCAAATTACAGGAAATCGATGTTTATTGTTGTAAATTGTTGTTTAGCCAAAATAGTTTCCTTGTACATTATCACCATCCTTATCTCATACTCGTCACTACCATTATCGTCATGATTAGTATTAATATCATTTTCATTTTCATGTTTGGCATCCCAAAATTATGTTAT